TTTAAACTTGTAATGATGGAATGAGTTAAATTTTTTGACAATTTATGACAGTTTAGTGAATGCAGACTAACGTTAGTTTGAATGTACTGAAATTGCAGCGCTCAAATTTGTGTATTATCATGTATAAATAAAGAACATCATTTAAAAAAAAGAAAAAAAAACAACAGAACATGATACTGCTAAAAATTGTAACTGTTCTACATTCACACATTTTTCTGAGCATGCAACTAACAAGGGACCAAGTTTCTCCTCAAAGATTCGAAGACAGCAGTAGAAAAACAATTAGTTTTTTGTAAGAACAACGAGGTTAGTGCATGCGGCTGGCTGCATTGCAACAGCTGTCACGCGAAGCAGACATGCAGACGGTGAAAATATTTAAAATACTTAGGTCGCGCCACCACTAAGCCTATACCTATGTAGCAGTTGCCGCCTTGTCGCCACAACAATCAGATCGAGTGTTCTTTATGAGACAAAATGGTCCATTTTCGATCTCGTCCAGTTTTACAACGAATTGACTTAAAAAGATTCTACGAACGGCATCAAATTTGTAATTTTTTAATCTACAAAACCCTGCCGGCTCCTAAAGTCCTTATGAATGTCCCTGTATATTTTTTAGTACGTGCGCTGAATGTGCACAATACGTTTATCGCACCACTCATGGCGCTGAATACGGCAATAGAATTTTTTCAGTGATAGCGATAACGAACGAGTCAGACATCTACACGGTAGTCTATACCGTAAACTTAACCAAACGCTGAGATAATACAAAGGTATTCAAATGCTCATTACTTTATTTCTAAAAGTCTACTCATAATAAAAACTGTTGAATATCGATAGTCGTGTTCAGGGCTTTCATTAAAACTACGGATATCCTCACTCTATCTCGTAATTCAAAAAATAAAAAATTTATTTTTTCCGTTTACACATCAAATTGCATTTTACTATTACCAATCGATTTTCAAAGCATAACTAGCCATAGAAACCTAATTTAGGCTCAATCCAATAACCCTGTCCAGAGATATTACCTTTCAAGGTTGTTTCGCTCCAAACTGGTCGCTCGATCGCTTATATAAGTACATAGTAACTGACCGTCAGTCTGTGGCGTATTGATCAAGTTCTAAACGTTACGAAAAACCGTCCTTGACGAATTATTCAATGTCAAAAAATTAAAAGAATTAAAAAACATTATTGTAACTGCAAATTCATTTATTAATAAAAAATAAGCACGAGCTTCTTTCTGTCCATAAGAGTTTGTATTGAAATATAATTGTTATCAATAAGCAAATCTACACAGCAAAAGCTTCATAAAATCCACAGTTTTTTGATACTCAACAGCTACTATTTAACTATGTATTATAATATTGCTTTCGCTGTACTTTTAAAAATCATTTAACCTCATGAAATTACTTAAATATGTAAGTTTAAAAATTCAATCTCTTATTAAACTCTAAATGTTATTTTGTAGTGGAGCAATCGTAGAAGATCTTTAAAAGCAAATCAAACTACTTCTTTTTCACAGGTATGGTAAACATTTAACCGTAAAAATTATGACCTCAGATCGGTAAAATCTGTCAACACAATCCTAATACTTATTTTGTAAAAATAAAACAATTTTATGAAAAAAAAAAAAAAAAAAACAAGTCTCGCGCCGCTTTCGTGTGTGCCGGCTTGGATCACTCGGCTAAATAATCAATCACGGGCATATCGGGCTCTTCCTCGCACCTTCTCCAGTCGCGGCGTCAGCAGTGGCGGTACGCGCGTAATCAGCGCCCGATCACCTCTCGAGTGTAGTGTGCTCTGATCAGCNAACTGATTTTTAGCAAAAAAATAAAAATTATTTTTTTGTTAAAATCTAAGCTATATAATTTATCAAGACATTAAAGAAAATGAAGTTGTTTAAATTTTTTCCAAAAATAAATTATTTTATGCATCAAATAATTTTTTTTTAACCTCATTAATATAACCATCTGCTTTGTATAATCGAGAAATAATTGATAATCGTGTTTCCTCAGCTACAATGACGATATAACAAAGAAACCCTTCTAAGCCCTGAACCATTAAAATCGGTCAAAAAGTTTTTGAGATCACACATACGTGTGCATAGGAATACACACACAAAGTTTTATATGATCTACCAATTATTCATCTTAGTTGTCAATTTTTTCACCATTATAATAATACCTTCTATGAAAGTAGTGAAATATGTAGAAATTTTTTTTTCTTCAAATATTTATGTGCTGGAGGCATTGAAATATTAAGCATCAATTTTTTTAAATTAGAAAAAATACTAAAATAGAAATTTGCTGGTGATTTTGTTATTAATATTACTGAAAAAAAAGCAAATTTTTTGGGCCATCGGCTGTTTTCTCTCGTGAACTGGATATTCATAATTTTTTCACAGTTTTAAAATGTGTAAATTGTATGCATATTCTTAAAAATTATTTGTTTAGTGTTATAAAATTATGCAGTAGCCTTGCAAACAAAAACTAAAAACGTAATAAATTATTTAATAGACTCAGTATTATAAACGTATTTATTTTGACGTACCTGACAAAAACGTGTTAATAACATTAATAAATTGAATTAAAAGTTCAAATATTGAAAATTAAAACAGAATCAAACCATGAATTGCTTGAAAAAAAAAAAAAAAAAAAAAAAACTGACGGCAGTTGGAATCAAACCCATGATTGTAAAACTATTCTATCAGTGGCATAAGCCATAGCCAACTTAGCTATTCAAATTCAAAAAATTTTGGTTGTTAAAAACTTATTGTTTTTGCCCTTTTAAGCTCTACGTGACAAAATTTTTTTGTTTTGGTTTATACTTTTTTTTAAGCTCTGATGGTGCAATGAAGTGGTTTTTGGCACCTTTCCTATCGAATTTCAATAGTTTCCTACACACCGATTTTTTCCAAATTATTTTTCCCAAAATACCACTTTTTTCCTATTCATCACGGTAAGAAACGTGTCTGGAAAGAGATTTAAAAAAAATCCTTGGGCCCTGTACTATGCTCTATCAAACTCAAAAAACAACTTAAACTGAATATTCTTTTAATGCACTATCTTTGGTGCAATAAGTATTATAAAAGAGTCCAAAGTACTGGAAGAATTCAAAATAAAAGCCTTGAAAGTCTAAGCTTACAATTATAAGTATTTAGTTATGTAATTTAATTTTCGGAAAATCATGTGGCTAGCCTCTTTGAAACTTTTACATGTTATAGAGAATTGTAAAATGAAAGAATAGATTTCTTATTTTATAAACATTAGATCCGTCGAAACTTTTTTTTTAAGTATTCCTCCTTACTCTCTAAGATCCCATTTAAGTATAGCAAGAAAGACTTGTCGCACTCGTCGGCTTGCTTTCCCTATACTAAATGAGCTATATAACTGTATAGTCGCCATTTCCATTCCTCTAACTCCTTTCTTTGGAGGCGCAAATTTAGTATATAATCCCTTTCACGCGTCTTCAAAGCATACGCCTACATGCCCATTTCCACGCGAATCCGTAGTCACACACTTGTCATACACCCTCCACGCTTTTTAATTAAAAAAAAAATGTGCCCCCGGTTTGGCCACTTGGTCATGATGGGGCACTCGAAACAGTGGCAAAAAGCGAACTCCCGCCATAGCATTGCAGTCAGCAATCTCTCTACTAATCTCTGACAACATCTACCTCGCGATTAGATTTTTGCTGTCATTGTTGTATAGAACGCGAGTTATGAGGTTTAGAAAAAATGGTTCAAAGTTGCAGTTGCTTGCAATTTGCGAAAAAACGGCTAAACCAATTTGAACCCAATGTGGTTCAATTTGTTCGTATCAAAACTGCGCACACTTTTTACACAACACTTTTTATGTGTCATTCTTCACTTTTCTTCTAGAAGCGAAAAAGAATTGAACATAGTTCAAAATAAAGAATACATTTTTAGCCATTTTGGTCATTTTTGGGGCTTTTGCTCACACTTTTTTTACTTAAATTCTGTGTCAATTCGTTACGATACTTTGAAACAACTACCCTATTTTTTCGAGGTAATTAGAGTTTTCGGGATCGAAAAACCTATTCTATCATACTTAACGTAAATACTGAATAGTTATGCATTGAAGCTCTTTTTCAATTATAAAAAAATTTTTTTCCCTAATATGCAACTATTTTTAAGAACATAAAAAATTCAGAATAAAGCTTTCTTTACACTAAGTCTGTTTATTTCATAGAATGGCTGACAAAAGAATCGATGTTTTTTTAAACCACAAATACAAGCATGGTGGGATCAATTTGATATTTTTAACAATTTATCTAGGTATTATTCAAGCGATGAAACACGTAACTGTGTCTTTTAGAATAAAAGTACCATGGTGTAGGACACATTGTTAATTAAATGAAATAGTGTTGGTTTTAAGAACTTTTTCAGTACAAAGCACTTCCCTTTAACTTCTCACTTGAAAGTATATATATTTGTTTATTGCCATGTGTACAGTTGCTCGATCTGTACTAGAGTCCTACCGTGCATAGCACGTAGAGGCTAGCTAGTTATGCAGCTGCTTCCTTCTCCAGAGAGAGACCTAGGAGAAACGCCGTCTTGTCGTGAGTGCAGTTGACAAAGTCAATTCAACTTTTTCTCGTTTCGTTTTAGCTTGCTTTTTTCTCAAGAATTTATATTGTTGTATGCATTTGACTAGCGAATATTATTAGTATACAACTTAATAGTATACAATTAATATTATATTATTTCAATAGCAGTGAATAAACTTTATTTCTTCATTTTTTTTGAATTGTTTAGTATTTGCCCAGAATCTCAAATGTTTTGCTACTGAAAACTCAGAAAAAACATTATGGATTATTTCTATGATATCATTCCTCTGAATAACCTTATAAATTACCTGAATCCTTATATGTACGTTTTGTGTGTATGTCTAAGTACCATGTAGCTCTTGTTTTCTATTTTCTATTCACTTTAAACCAAATATAGTTTTAATTAATCCATTTAAATTTTCTGTTTGGTACAGGAATGATGAATACATATTCCAAAGTGCGATCACAACTGTACGTCGAATTAAGTTATACAGTGACAGTCTAGCTCGTTATGGAAAATCTCCATATTTATATCCTATGTATGGCCTCGGTGAATTACCTCAAGGATTTGCTCGTCTCAGTGCTATCTATGGAGGTACGTACATGTTGGATAAGCCAGTTGATGAAATTGTAAAAAAAGATAAAATAGTTGTTGGAGTTCGTTCTGGAAATGAAATCGCTACTTGTAAACAATTGTTTTGTGACCCTTCTTATGTTCCGGATCTGGTCAAAAAAGTTGGACAAGTCATACGCTGTATCTGTTTACTAGATCATCCAGTACCTAGTACAAATGATGCTTTATCTACACAAATCATAATTCCACAAAAGCAAGTAAGTTACTGTTTTTATAAGAACGAAATATGTGTCAATTTAATCAAATTTTGCATGTTTTAGTTATTACTGTGCATAATTAATTATTATAAATTAGCGAAAAAAAATTAATGTATTTTTTTCATACTAAAGCAAAGAACGAAAACAGAATTCTTTGGTGGTTGCTTTTTAAAGTAAAAGATAGATATTTTCTATATTTATTCGATAAGTTTCAAAGAAACACGACAAAAAAGAAAGCTATTTTAGATTCACTACCTTTTTTTTACTTGTTATTTATATCTTGTATATAATGTATGGATGAGCGCGTGCGTGTGTGTGTCTAGGTAAATTTTATCGTTTTTACTCTAACCACAAAATAAAGTAAGTTCATTCAGGATAATTCTTAGAGAATTAATGACATGGCAATAGTATAGTTGCAACTATGTGTATAATTTTTCAGTTGCCTAATCTAATTTGTATATTTACATTCTTGAAAACAGTTGGAGTTTCTTGTAGACACTTATAAAATAATCTATGTTATTCCAGCTTAAATTTGTTTGTAATCACTGAAACTCCTGATACTGCAGTGAAACGAAAGGAAGTGGCAGTGTATGAATTTATTTCCAAGAGTTTGGTGCCAGCTTCTTAAACAAAGTAACCTAGCTCTAAGGCAGCGTTTTTTTATACGCCAAGTGCGTTATTGGCGAAATTGTGAAAGTTCTGCAGGTAAACCTTGATAGGACTTGACTCGCGCATGACTTGCTAGGCAAGTTTGCTTGGGCTAACAGCGTTGACATGCTCTACGTGGCAACGTAGTTATGGCTAGTGACTTAAATTCCGGGGCTGTAGCTTGGGGAAGGAGGTGATTCCATAAAGTAGGTGGTGTTGGAAATGGCTTGAATCTCACCGTTATAAACTCCAGAATTTTAGAAACGTTTAGGTGGCCCGGTAACAAAGGCACGATTAATGACGTTACGCTGGTGTCATGAAAAATGGTGGCACGGGTACCCTGCTGGTAGATTCTGGAAAAATTCATGGCTAGTTATCACCAGTATGTCAGCTTCGTATTGAACAATGACCATGGTGCAAGCCCGTAAGAAAGAACCCGAAGGCACGTCACTAGGTGGAACGTGGTGAAGCTCAATTGAAAGCTTATGAAGGTCATAGCTATGCAGAAATCACACAATTTTCAGAACATATTTAATGCATGCCCACGCGTTCAACTGTCCAGTGACCGCTGGAAGATCCAAAGACTCATACTTTTGGATAAGAGCAACCGCCCCTGGTTCCGTCGTTATTCCATTCCTTAAGCATGTTACATAACCCCGGAAAATGCTCGAAAGGCTGACATGAATTTGTTTGTGAAGAATGGTCAGCCTCTCGGACAACCAGTATGAATTTTAAAGGGAGAGTTCGATGGTCTTGGCTGTGGCTAAGGTTCTTGAGTTGGTTAGGGAGGCATGAAAATCCTCACACGAGACGAGGAGCGTTTGCGTCCTGGTGACTCTCAACGTCAAAAATGCCTTTAACTCGGCCGCATGGTCTGACATACTGAGGGCTTTAAAGCGACAGAATGTATCGAACTACCTCAGAAAGATACTATACAGCTTTCTCCAGAGTCGAGTACTCTGATGTGACACTAAAGACAGACCAAAAGAGAGGCGTGTGACGTTGGGGATCACTCAAGGTTCTGCCCTTGGCCCTGACCTCTTGAACCTGGTCTATAATGAACTCCTATAAGATGTAAATGGTCGTCCTCACCAGGCAGAGATGGTTTGGAGGGGGAGAGACTTCCACCTGAACGTTGCGAGCGAGGCAATCTGCTCGAGCCCGATGTTGCGATATCTGAGAGTGTGGATTGTGTGTGGGAGTGTGAAAATTTAGACAGAAGTAACTTTAATACCAACAAATCTAATAGAAATAACTTTTTTCGACCTAATTAGGTCAAAAAAGCAGGGTGAAATCCTAAAGTGTCTAAAAATAAGTCCCTTTTTTAGTTATCACCGAACCGAATAAAAGTATGTGCGTCAATAATAACTTGAGCCTTTTTTAACAGTCAATTTTCTGAGTCCTAACCGTCCTAAAACAAAGTTTGTCTCGTATAAACAGTTGAATAATCAAGTTGTTTATGTTGTGCAGCCATATTTCTGGAGCGAGAAACGCACGAGAGTAGCAAACGGCCAGACTGCCACTATAGCAGCATATAATCATAACCTAGATAATCGTTACAGTTATAGAAAAAATATGTCTTTAGCGGCATGCAGTTAATAAATTTTATTTACGCTTCTTAGTGGCAGTGTGGAAATCTCCTACAATCGCATGTTCAACCAACTCTTCTTATAATTTTCTACCGTACTAGATTTACTGTACCACGTACTACTGATAATAAAATAACTATTAATTCATACATGGTAGCTGGAGATAAATATTATTTGGATTTTAATATTTCTATCTTTGTGGGTTCTTGTACTAGTGGTGTAGTTGTATTTGAGTACAAAGTTTATAAACTTTTTTTTTCATCACTGACGAGTTGAAGTTTTCTCTACGAATATGTTAACTTTGTGATCTTCGGTATATTACACACGCACATGAAGGTACGATTAGGTTGACACAAGTTCCTACAGTTGAATAGTACAGTATGTGCAAAAACTTGTAGATTTATGTATTTGTTAAACTTTTAACGCACACAACTATTAAAGGTTATGTTTGCAGATATTAACACTCAAGCTACAGTTGTCCTTGTATACGAGGTTAAGATTTTTTTTTGTTTCTCCATTACTGTTAACACTGAGATACTCCTGAACACGTATGTCGATGACAAAGTCCCCGAGGCAGTGCACTCATATGTTTCCTCAGTGCGTTTTTAGATGGCCATCTGTAATAGACAAGATCTCCTCGACATGTCTATCAACGTTCTTAAAGCAGAACATTTGTAACTTTCTGGCGCCTTAGACACCAGCAGCGAATATTAGGCTGACCTCGATCATGCTAGTGAAAAAATATAAAACATGAAATTGGGAGTTGGTTCTGAATCAGAAAAATAGTACTGGCTTCTGTAAGGCTAATTAATAATATACTTAGACGCAAGCACTAATACTAACAAAAATAACAGCTGCAGAAGAGATGAGTAGACTATTTCTGGTTTATTTCAATTCTCCTTCAGGCTTGGCTCGTTTTAACTGGTTTTAATTTGAAACTTACTAAACTGACACTGAAGATACTCAAAGATAATCAGGACGAAATTTTTGCTAACAGTATTTATGGTGTTGTGATCTTAATACAGAAAATAACTACACTGCCAAGATCACTGATCATTAATCACTAGGTATTTGACTTTACAGAGCTGGCAGCACTGTTTAAATAGCACGACTATCTGGCACTATGCATAAGTATACAATTATAGAGTACGATAATAATACTGCTATTTATAAGTGGTAACGATTGAGGCAAAAAGATATATGGTCGCCGACTGTCCTTTCTGCTTCTTTCTAACAGTGTAATATGATAAGCTGTTTCTCAACGAGATAGGTACCTCCGTATGCAGTGGCAAAGAAGTAGTGGAGAGGCAAGCAAGTAAAAAGCTGCAGAAAAATTTGTGTTATCATTGATAGATTGTATGTTCGATCAGTGACGAAAACTACATTTTGGTTGAAATAAAAATGTAATATAAATCATCAGTTATTGAGGTGTTTTGCCATGCCATGATGTTTCACTTTTGAGATTTGTTTCCTATATATTAGTATCATCAAGACAAAAAATAAATTTCCTGCACAAACTGTTTTTTACTTTATTTATCCAGTTACTAAAATAACTGCACCAGTCTTCAAACGCTTTTTTCGATACATCTCATTAATTTCCGTATAAGTGTGGAATTATAAACATAAAACGTAAAATAATTGTACCCTTGGTAAGAACAACGTATGCTGAATAAATAGAGACCCTAAAAACTTATCTATGTGGCCTTATAAAAATAGAGTTGATAAAATTTAAAAAAATCTAATTGTTCCAGTGACGAAACACTACTGTCTTTTTTTTTTGCGCCATACATAGCCATATTAATTTTACCACCATCACATTGTAATTCCTGTGTATCGCTATTTTTTTTAAATAAAACACTGAAACTACATTGTGTAAATTTTATCGAAGGCTTTAATAAGTTTGCCTTTACCTCGATTGTAAGAAGGAGATGTGGAATCACAACCAGTAAAGCAATGTATAAAAGTAATTATTTTTTCAAAGCATGATACATGAAACGGTCTATGTTATACACTGATTCGGCTTTTCTTTCTTTACAAGGCTCGCAATAATGGGTGTTGATGAATAACCATCAAAAACAATAATGCTGTTGGTGTATAATTTTGTTCAATAAAAGAGATGTATCGTTTCAAAACATCTCCAAAATAGTTTTTTTTCCACACTATTTCATGTAGCAGAAATTCCCCATCATTTACGTGCGTGTCAATTTTACTTTTACAATTATTGAGTGGCATAAAATTATTAAATAATTTTAACTTTTTAGTTTTTCTAAGAAAGCCGTCATCAAAAATCGATACAGGGTAGGATGCCAGTGTATATTTAAAATACTGCTTTAATTCTTCTTGATTTTTTATAGTAACAGTAATTCTTTGAAATACAAGAGCTGAATTCGTAATAGCAATATGTTTATCGACTTTGATGGAAGTTCCAGCTTTTAAGGGCAAAACTTTAAATGTTTTTTAAAATTTAATTTTGTTAAAAGGCTTGTCTACTGAATTCCTGGATACCTGCAGCCCGACTTCGAAATATTTATGACAATGTATACTGTTGTCACCTTCAACTCCCGAACTGATACTCAAAATTTGATCTGTAGCGACAAATGAATAATGAGATTTGAAATACTTTTTAAGTTCATCAGTATTTTCAGAATCTCTGCTGATTCTTGTTGGTAAAGCATCATTATATTGGTCTGAACTCGCAAAAGAAACTCCGAAAAAATGTTTGCTGAAATCAGCAATTTCTGTAATAACAGGCTTTGTCAGTAT